AAGAAAAAAGAAAAAATAGCCCTTTTGAATCCTAGAATAATACTAAATTATAGTAACAACGACAATGGTGTTCATAAGCATATGATTTTAAGTTATTAGGGCATGACTAAAGTTGCAAATAACTAATACAATTCATAGTTAATTTCTTGAAAAAAAAATAATAATAATCACAACAAGTCGAGGAGACATAAATGATACCTGGGGCTATGTAACCGTAAGATCCAGCAATTACTGACATTGATTCATCTCTATGAATTAGCTTTGCCACCCCAAAATCAGCCACACGAGCCTCCATCTCTCCATCTAAAAGTATGTTACTAGGTTTGAGATCGCGGTGCACAATCACTGGATCACAATCATGATGAAGATAACATATTCCTTGAGCGACCCCTAGTGCAATTTTGTACCTAGTGAGCCAATCGGCCACCAAATTATCGCCCTTGTTTTTGCAATGCAACAAATCATCCAAGTTTCCATTAGGCATGTACTCGTAGAGAAACATGGTACATTGATTGTTGCTACAACATCCTAACAATCGAACAATGTTTCGATGTCTCACATTGCCTAAAACTTCCACCTCAGCCAACACTCCCCTCCTTTTCCTAGTCATGTCCTTGTTCTTCCCCCATAGCTTCTTGACAGCTATGGTCTCGCCACCTGGCATATCGGCCTTGTACACGGTCCCGGCGGACCCCATCCCAAGGACTTTATCGGTCATGTTTAGACACTCCAATACATCGTCGGCCGTGAAATTCAGTCTTTGAAATGCTGTCAATTTCCATGGCCCTTCGTCTCGATCATCGCAAAATTTGTGGCCATATTTAGCTTGGAAACACTTGCTACCAACAACTAGTATGAACAATCCAATGCCAAATGCTGCAGCCATGATCCAAACAATTGCACCCGCAGTCTTCTTAGGCTGCTGCCGGACCTCCATCGCCCCAGCAGCTAATCCATCTTTCCGGCAAGGCCTCTTAAGAATGCCTCCACAAAGCCCTTCATTCCCGGAAAACGAGGATGGATGGAGAATCGAAAACGCCGATCCTGAGGAGGGGATAGGTCCTGTGAGCTGATTATATGACACGTTGAAATTCTCCAAGGTGCTACAATTATTGAAATTCGAGGGAATTGCCCCTGTGAGAAAATTGTGTGATAAATCAACATCAGTGATGGAGGGAAGTGAAGAAATCTCCCATGGAATAATTCCTGTAAGCGAATTTCGACGTAAATTGAAGAAAATGAGTTTTTCACAATGGCCAATGTCCCATGGAATGCTACCACTAAGATCATTTCCATCTAAATAAATCTTGTAGAAACTTCGACAACCAATGAAGTCTGGAATAATGCCATTGAGTTTGGCAGAACTAGCCAGGAAAATCTGCAGACTTGGGGCGCTCCAGATGGTATCAGGCAATGCAGAACTGAACGAGTTGCCCGATATGTCCAAGAACTCCAACTTTGGAGCATTGCCAAGATCCTTTGGAATTGGCCCTGAGAATTTATTGTTGCTTAATTCGACGTATGTGAGATTAGGCAGGAAGCCGAATCCAAAAGGTATCGACCCGTTAAGCTTGTTGTTTTGAATCCTGAAACGCGTTAAAGCCGTGCAATTTGCCAGAGATGAAGGTAGTTCACCAATGAATTGATTTGCGAAAAGAACGAGTTTTATCAGGTTTTGGCCCAGGCAAAGATTTGGAGGGATTGGTCCAGACAGTGAATTTGTAGAGACATCAAGTCTTTGTAACTTTGCATTTGAGCCTAATTTTTGTGGTAAAATTCCTGAAAGTGAATTGTTCCAGAGAAATAAGTTTACAAGGTTGGGAAGTTCTCCTATACCTTCAGGAATTTCACCTGTCAAATTGTTGCGCATCAACGACAGATTGTATAGCTGTTTTAATTCCGAAAATTCACTCGGGATTTCGCCTGACAGGTTATTATCTGATAAATCAAGAACCTGGAGAGATTGCAATTGAGCTATACTCACCGGAATTGAACCTGAAAAGTGATTCCTGAAAAGCAGCAATGTTTCCAACTTATTCAATTTGCTCAACTCAGCTGGAATCTTGCCTGATAAATTGGCTGTTGAGATATCAAGATATAGTAAATTTGATAAACCAGAAATCTGCACTGGAATTCCACCAGAGTACACGTTGTATCCCAATTCTAAATGCTCTAGCTGACTCAAGAAGCCTAACTCAGCAGGAATTGGACCTATCAAGGCATTTCCTTGCAAGTACAGAGATTTCAATTTCAAAAAGCTGCCAAAACTTGTGGGGATTGTACCATTAAAATAGCTCCCTCCGAGGTTGAGGTACTCGAGATTCTTGAGAAAAACGAGTTCATCAGACAAAGGGCCTGTGAAATTGTTGCTATATGCATTAAAGAAAGTAAGAGACTTTAGTCTTGAAATTCCAGGTGGGAAAGTTGAATTGAACAAATTGTGACTAATGTCAAGTGTTTTGAGGTTTGGCAATTCAAAAATGGCAGGCTGAAGAGGACCATCCAGGCAATTTTTACTTAAATTCAAGTGGTGCAAATGAGACAAGTATTTAATATCAGTTGGTATGGTGCCTGAAAGGCTTCTCCCTGAGAGGTCCAAATTCGTGATTTGGTTGGATTTATGGTCACATTTGACTCCTGACCAGGTGCACCATATGGGCTGGAATCCAGGCCTGGAGAAGGCAGTCGAGGGGTCCCAATCTTGGAATGTGTTGAGATGGTCTTTGAGGGATGATTTGATTGAAAGAAGGGAGATAAGTTGGAGAGACGGCGCAGAAGCGGTGGCTGCGGCGGTGGCGGTGGTGGAGAAGACTAATGAAATTCTAACTACTATCAAGAAAATGAAAAATGAAGAAAGGGAAAGAAAATTCATGGTTTAGGAATTGAAGAGGTGGTAATGGTTGAGAAACGCATTTTGTTAAGACAAGTAAATTTAAGGAAGTGAAGGTTTTGATTACGGTTGGCTTTGCTTTTTTGGAGTGCTGTATGCAGATCGTATTTCATCATGATTGTAGAGAGAGAAAGAGACAGAGAGAATGAAACATACATATAGATATATATAAAGAGAGAAACAGGAAACAGGAAACAACCACTTCTTCTTCATCTTCTTCTAAATACTTCTATTTCTAACATACAGACAGACAAAGATACGCAATTCTTCATAATAAGAAGAAACGGTTGGTTTTCTCTTTCCTCAATATATATTTATTTTTCTTGAATTTCTTTGAGTCTTTTCCTTTTTATTCTTTCAACTTTTCATCATTCCTTGTTTCCTTTATCTTTGGCCCAGCTTCAGCATTTTGGTATATATGGGGCAAAATAAGGCACTGTTTTTTAAGGATCCAAGAAAGTGATTACAATTCCCACCATTTCCCCTTAAGTTCTTATTCTTGTAACAATTTTTTTATTCTTTTTTCTTTCTTTCTTTCTTTTTCTTTATGCAACATTATGTGATCAAAGTGAGTCCTAATATAGATCAATTTGATTGAACCTAAGGTTAGGTGGGTGGGGATGGAAGTATTCACGGTGATTTTCAAGTATCATATTATAGAGTGTGATACAATCATATAAAAATAAAAACATGGAAAGTATTATCGATTACTCAATTTAATCAAAAGATAGTGATAGCAACGTTTTTTTGGCAAATGTGAGATACAATACATACAATGGAAATTAGCAATCAAGTTAATAGCCAAAGTACAAAAGAAATTAGAAATCACGGTGATTTGTAATGCATGTTTATAAAAAGTCCGGCTCACGACAATGGGCAAATCAATAAAGAACAATAACTAAATTTCATGAACGCAAATTAGCAACATGAGCTAATAGCCCACACTAAAGAGTGAATAAAGAATTGTAAGTGCGTGTTTATAAAAAGTCCAACTCACTATACATGGAAAATTAGTAAGGACAAGAACTTAATTATACGTTTGAGGAAAATTAACAATCCGAACTAATAGCCATCACACAAAAGAATAAACAAAGATATTTGTGTAGAAAAATAAATGTCATTATTTATTATAGAATATTAAATTTATGTGGATGCTTTATGTCAGTTTGACTTGGTTGAAGCTTTAAAATGATGGGCATTTACTTTGTATCATTAATGTTGTTGAAGTGCATTCATTGTAAAAACCCTACAAGAAACCTTTAGAAACAAATACATAATCATAAGATATAATTTCC